AAGGTCGCGCCCATCACACACAAAGTGCTTGCCACAAATGAACCACAATACCTTGCTGATCTCGTCAAGGAGCATAAACCATCATCACACGAACTCCGGTCATCCTCGCAGCAGCGGCCATCGAACAAGGACGGTCACCGCATCGCGCGATTCCAGGTGCACTTCTGGGGCCTTCTGGAGGGCTCTTCCTTACCATACTAGGAGGCCATTGGAGCTATGCGCTTTTAAATTCATATGAAAAATGAATTTCTTTAGAACTGCTTTTTGTGTTTAGTTTGTTGTCCTTTCCCCGCACCTCTGATTAGCGCGGTGGGCTACGGACGGTGCGGAAGACGTTCAACACAGTCGCTATGTACTGCTGTGATCATAGCAGGTACCACCACAGTCAGTATGCACTGCTGTAATCATAGCAGGTACCACCACAGTCAGTACGCACTGCTGTTAAATTTGTAAGAGTAGTTTCGAAATATTTTATTGGGCCTGGGCAATGCCGGGTAAATAAGCTAGTATGTACATAAGAGAGACATCCAGGTAAATGATTTAGAGGAAACAGACATTCAGTCCAATATAGGATTTAGCTTCGGTCAGCAAGCAGTATGATTGTGGGCTCGCATGTCCTTGCGTGCGTAGAATCAATCTGCGCAAGCATTTCTGATGCACTCTTTGATTCATTGGGTTCGGTGTTTCTTGACAGTGGCCTGGGAGAAACATGCTTGAGACCAAGGCCGTAATTATCATATATATTGGGGGTGGACACATTCCCCCCAAATATTCAAATATGCTCAAAATGTCCCCCCCCCCCCCAATATATTGCTATAAAATAGATTTCTGTTTCTATGGTTGCGGTTATGGTCGTACTTTATGAATCCCTTATCTCTGCCATTAACATACAATGAAACAAGAAAAGGTAAAAAAAAGACAAAACAAAGCGATGTAATACAATACACTATTAGACATTATTGTAAAAAAATAAATAAAAAGTCCATCCTACGTGTTCGTGCATTTGTTTTATATTTTTGGCAGGAAGTGGCAGGAAATGTGTTTTCAAATTTAGACTTTCTTTATGGGGGGAGGACCCTCCAGACCCCCTGGAAGATTTGGTCCCCCCCCAATGTTGACTCCATGGCTACGGCCTTGCTTGAGACACTCAAGCATGAATGCCGAGTGCACACTGGGCCTGGAGTCTGTTGTGGCATTGAACCCTCACGCACAGAACTGTGACTGCGGTACCAATGAAGTGTACTCTACAGTACACGCAGATGTGCAACAACCCCATTCTTCTACTCGTGGGCTGCCACCACCACCACCGCTAGACCACTGCTTAGAACTGGATTGCAGTTGCACGAAAGAAACACAAATCTACGTAACGTTTCAGGCAACACATCTTCTCCGCAGGGCGTCTTAATTCAAGGGAACGCACCAAGGGAGCAGGAGGAGGATTCCTGCCCGTGCCGTTGTTGAGCTCTCGGCGTGCGCGGTCGTCTGCCGACGAAGGCGCCGAGGTGACGTTCGTCGTCCGCGATTTGGGCTGCACCGCAGCCGGTGCAGGACGAGCTAGTGCGGGGCCTGTAGCATGTGATGTTATAAAGGGGCCCTAAATAAAAAAAAAATTAAAACACAAAATTTTAACAGCCAGATAATGCGACAAATCGCTTATCTTAAACACCCAGTCGTTCATAAACGTTAAAGGCGGTATAGTACTATAGTAATAGAGCAAGTGCAGAATCACCGAAACGGAATTGATAGCTTGAAAGCATTTAGTGCGGGGCCCTTGAAAGTGTGGGGCCCGTAGCTACTACATGTGTAGCTACTACATGTGTAGTTACTACTACATATGATGTAGCTACTTGTGCTACTGCGATAATCCGGCACTGCCTGCAGTTGCCTCCTCCTCCATGGTTGTTTGGTGGCGGCTCGCCCATTGATTCGCTCCTCGGGGGAGCTGCAAGCCCAGGAGGGCCCCCGAAACCGGCGGGTTAATGAGTTGTTTCCCGTGCAGGGTAAACATGGTCATTCTTTGAAATTCGCTGACATTTCTCTGTTTGCGAACATTTTTCCCCCCTCTCTCCCCTCAACGTAAACAGAGAATGGAATCCGCTGCGAGATTCAACATTCCACTGGTAAACACGACTGGCAAAGCACTTCGTTCTGTTTTCACTTGCGGAAGAATGACCATTATTTTAATGGTCACCATTATTTTAATGGTCATTCTCCACATTTTTACTTACGTGACATTTATATGCATTTCCCTCAATTTAAAAAGCCAATTTTTCCACCAGTGCACTGGCGAGGTTGTATTTTGTCACTGCTGTTTACAAATGTGGATTTTTCTGTCTGTGCTCGCAATGTTGACAGAACTGGGGGGGGGGGGGGGCAGCTACATTCCTTCTGAGTTTGTTGAAGTTGCACCTGCTCCGAAATGGGTCGCGGCTAAACCGGTTCCCAAGCGGACAGAGGGTGGCATCTGGCCTTGCTGTGTTCAGGACACAATGGCTAAGGATCCTTCTCGCTCTCTCTCGTGGCTTTTAGCACCATCACTGACTTTGTGCATCGCGTGTCATCTCTGCCAGCAGCCACAAGGCCTTGCACTGTGTGCGGAATGCTGCAACAACCGCAGCAGCAGCAGCAGCCTTTATTTAACCAGGAGATTAACTGAACCCATTGAAAAGCATGGCACCACGTTGCTTATTTTGCACGGGCAAAAGCCTGTAAGGTTATATTAAGAGCAAGTTTAAAAATTTCGATTTAAAGCTTTCGTGACTGCAGGGATTCATCTTCTTGGTTCTTTCGGTAAAGTCACGTAACTTTACCGAAAGAACCAAGAACAAGTTTAAAAACACAATCGTTTATAAAACATAAACATGAATAGAGATTCAATGTAAAGGTATATTACACGTGAATATAACAAGTTAAATTGCACTTAAAGTTATAATTATGTCAACAATGTAGTGTGACCATAGGAATGGAGACTGACGAGACCCGCTTGGAGAGGGAATGGGGAGAGAATTGTGCAACATCTCATCGATGGCGACGAGCCGGCTTCAGTCGGAAAACAAAACACACACAAATCATTCACATACACACACACACACCGTTGACACACACACACACACAGATCACACACACACACAGATCACACACACACAGATCACACACACACAGATCATTCACTCACACACAGATCACACACACATATCACATACACACATATCACACACACACATATCACACACACACAGATCATCCACACAGATCACACACACACAGATCATTCACTCACACACAGATCACACACACACAGATCACACACACACAGATCACACACACACAGATCACACTCACACACAGATAATTTACACACAAATCATTCACACACACAGATAATTCACACACACAGATCACGCACACACAGATCAGTGTGTGTCTCTAGGGTAGAACCGTCTGTGTGTGTGTCTGTGTGTGTGTGTCGAGTGATAGTGTAGCGGTTAGCGTGCTGCGCTATGAACCCGGCGACACGGGTTCGATTCCCGCTCACGGCCAACATCAGTGAGATTATCTGAACCGGTCCTGGGCCTCCCCTAGGTCGACTCAGCCTCAAATGAGTACCTGGTGCGGTGTGTAAACATTGCCACTAGGGAGACAAAGGCGGTCGGGCGTGGTGCTGGCCACCCACCCCCTCGTGTACCGTTCCGGCCTTTATAGATGCTCGCTAACAGCACTTGCCCCTGCAGTCTGTTAAGGCTATACGGGGGATCTTTGTTTGTATGTCTGGGGTGGAATCGTCTATTGCTGCTCGGCGCGAGCAAGCAGCAAGGTTGATTGACGTTACAATCAAAGCAACAGACGTTGCTTTTCAAATGGGTTTCACAAAGGTACCGTTCAAAGCAAGGGATATCCAACTCCAACAGCCAACAACAACTGGGAGCGTCAACATCGCTGTGACTTTGATGTCCAAAATCACTCTTCCCCACGACAACGGAACGACTCGTCTGGTGACCGATGAAGAGCACAGGGGGTGACGCTCTTCGGCAGTGGCTCTCAGAGTGTTGATGGCCCACGATGCTCCTCCACGTGGGCCGCGGGGCTGTGATGCAAACGCGGGTTGATACGGACAATAATGACGTCCATGTTCTTGGGTCTTTCGGTAAGTCAAAGAAAATGTGTTATTTTCTTTGAACCTATCTACGTGACGACGTGACTTTACCGAAAGACCCAAGAATATGAATTCCTAATAATAGGGGTTTCCCCTTTTTCTGGCAACAAAACTGAAACATTTTTACAAGGAATCATGTGTGCATTAACCACAATACTTGTGGTCAAAATGCAAACAAAAAACACACTGATAATATATGCATTGTCCTTGAAACTGATTGGTCCACACCAGAGACGGCTTTCTTTTGAGCCTCGTCTCAATTGGTGCTAGACCAGAGGACGCCAAAAGGCGTACAGCTCAAAGAAAATGCATTATCAGAGTAATGAGGGCTCGGGGTGAGCATCTACATCATGGGACCTCCTTTGCCAGTACCAAAATATAATAATAGGGCTTTTCCACTTTTTTTCTGGCAGTTTTGTTGCCAGAAAAAAGGGGAAAACCCCTATTATAACATGAATTCCTGCAGTCACGAAAGCTTTAAGTCAAGATTTAATAATGACGTGTATTGTACCTTTTAGTTTCGGACATGGATTCATATTTTGCTCGTGATGTTTAATTTCAAAATTAAGTTACGGGAAGCTACCCCGATGAAAATTAAAAAAACACTTATTTTCTGTCCATGATTTTCATGAACAACGTTTAAGTTTGCAAAAGGGATCTATTTGGTGTTTGAACACCTGTTTTTATTGCCAGAAAAGAGTAAAACCTATTCTTACGTTTCCATCACGAATCATTTTGTATTCCTGGTGTCCAGAGAGCGAGAGAGGAGTAGTGAATGCGTTTCATCACCAGGGGAGTGGGGGGGAGGCTGGGTGGTCCGGTGGAAATGTTCGCATTGGCCGAGTGATTGGCGGCGCCAAACACGTTTTTATTAACGCTGCTCTGGGGGGGAGATCTGGGCCTCGCTGTTTATTCGGGCGATTGTGGTCACATCGGAGAGCATCTGTCGGGGCGCTGCTCCTCTTCCTCCAGCTCAGCAGAAGTCGCACCCCGCTGCGTGAGGTACAGCCCACGGCGGCCCCATAGCCGCTCACGATCGCTGTGGGGCTGAGACGTTCTTTGAGAATTCACGCATTTGGAGGGACTACGGACAGACAGCTTACAGCGTTGAACACGTGTCGGCTTTCGCGAAACCGGAGGGATTCTCCACGAATTCTGGCGGTCGCCTGATGATGCTGGTTGTTGTCACGGTACTAGAATGGTACATGTTGTGGGTTACTCTCCAACACACCGGTGTGCTGAACTACTAACAAATTTGTTTAAGTGACTAACCTTACTAATCGGTTGTGTCGGGTGGTGGTGGGTTTAACACATTTATATTTACACGATCGAACCCAAAAAAGAAAACCTCTCTTATGGAGCTTATATAACTCTTCAATAAAATATCGCACTTGGGTTGCAACGTGAAGAGGACTCGGAAAAACATTTCCATTATGCAAACACTAAAAGCATGTCGAGCAATAGGATTGTAGAGCAATAGGATTGTAGAGCAATAGGATTGCTGTGCGTTATGATGCCGGCTGCGTGCCCGGCTGAGTGCCGTGCTGGATTATCTTGTGCACAGGCGCGGCTCGTCCGTGCAGGCGGACTGTTTAGGTGGTCGCCGAGGGCACCAAGTTAGGTGGAAATATAGAAACAAATAAAAATAAAAATAACCAAGATGTAATTATTTAAATTATCGTGCGCGTACAGAAGGACTATTAATTATAATTCATTTCTTAACATTTCTGAGAATGTATTGGTTGGACAGAGGGACGGACGGACAAACCGAATAATCATGCCTCTGTTTTAGACAATATATACTTAAAAAAAATGAAAGGAAAAATAGGGGCACAATGTTTCCCAGTTTACCAAAAAACCTCAGCCGAGATCTGCCCTCGGGGTTTGCTGGTGGGGGCGCCTATTGCGTGGTTCGCCTCGGGCGTCAGATGTTGGCAGCTAGTCTAGGGCAGCCCCTGCTTGTACTTGTAATACAGTCGTTCATATATCTCGCTGGTAAAGACTGATGTTAGTGCTCAGCAGAGAACTGATGGTTGAGATTCATAAACATTATCTTACAGAGAGCTTGAGATTTTTATGTTTACTAAAATAAAATGTTTCGTTTAAAGGTTGACCTCGGCATTCAGGGTCACGTACATTTTATTCAGAATGCCATATTGTTACATTTGAGCACAGACCGTTGATGGAGGTTTGGCTTGTGGGTGCATCCTGACCGGGTGTACAGAGGAAAGGCTTCATAAGCTCAACAGGGTGCCACGGTGATGAGATGTTGACTACCTCGCCTGGTCTACAGGAGATCGTGGGTTAAATCCCGACCCTGACGCTGCCTGCTGTATACTTGGAGTGTGCGAGTCACACTCCCCGTGGCCGCGTTGGTTGTTCTCCGGGTCCTCCGGTTTTCCCCTCGACATTTAGAAACACGCGTTCAGAGTATTTGGCCGCTGCTTATAAAATTCCACGTGATAAGCCACTTCGTTGAGCTATCATTTGTGATAGCAAGGTCGCTTTTGAAAAAGAGCTACCATAGCTCAGTGGGCCTTATCTGGGGGGGGGGGGGAGTTTATTTCCAATGTAAAAAAATAAATAGTTTAAGTTTAAGCGGAGCTCCCGCAAGAGGCCCACAAGGTCCACTCTCCACCACCGGGCGTGTCGGGAGAAACATGGCGAGCACATTGACCACAACCTTAAACTTTCAAGCAAAGCAAAAGTGTACAATGCGTTATTTACACGGTGGTCTCAATGCAATCGCATCACAATGTGTTACACAAACTAGTGGGACATGTCCATCTGGGGTAACAATTAGGCACGTGCTGTATATAACCGCTGTACTGTATTCATGAACATAGACAAGGAGGTCGCAGGCAGGCGGAGGAAACGAGGAAGGCCTCGAGCCTTGAGAGTTCCCACCGACGCCGGCAGCAGCGGAAGCGTGACCTCCCAGTGAGTGCAGGTTCACTGGAGGCTTTCACAGAAGGCCTTGGTTGTCCTTCCCCCCGCGCCTCCGATGAGCACGGTTGGCTACATACGGCGCGCAAGAAGTTCAACGTGCGTACTGTCCACACCTGTTTGGTGGAGTGGATAGAACCTCGGCAGGGGGCGCAGAGGGAGATGCCAGGCAGGCGCCAGTCCTGGGAGGATCTTGAAGACTGAGATCAATCTTGTCATGGATGCGATACGGGAGCCGGTGGGAGGGATTGGACTGTTGGAGTGATGTGCTCATGGGTGCGGATGACGGGTGTGGCGGTGACGTTTTTTAATGATCTGGTAGAAAGTGAGGAATTTTGGGAGGCCGTAGAGATTTGCAGAAGCCGAGTGGAGATGCGATGTAGTTGCGGAAGAGGGTCTCGGCAGTCTAGCTTACAAATGCGTCATTGTGAGTGCCAATCAAATCAATCGACACACTCGGCCGACCTCCGTGGTGAGTCGCAGCATCGAAACGGCTCTTTTCCAGGCCACTTCCGCAGCATCGCCACACGCTGTCAGTGCTGACCGTGTTACAGAGGGGACTCTGGTCCACAGGCGCGGAGATGCACCACGTGCAACGAACACTGTCAGCACAGTGATGTCACAATGGAATGTGAGACGTCATCACAATGCCCTCGTGCAAGCCTCGTGGGTGGCCTTCGACCGTCTTGCCGTACTGAGGGAATATGATCGAGCGACGATGTGTGGTCGCATGCAGGGCACCCAGAGACATGACCGGCCTGCGGTCGATGTCGCTGCTGCTGGTGCTGATCGCTGTGTCACGTGGACAGCATCTTCACACGGTAACCATGACGACTGCAGCACAGGGCAGGCTCACCAACATGCTCTGATGCCCCCTTTGAATCGAGAAGTTTAAGCAGACGTGGTAATCCAAATTGAAAGTCGAGTCTTGAGCATAATTTGGAATTTGGCCGTGCCATACTGCCAGGAACGTCTCTATTACTCATTCGTTAAGGACTACTTTTTGTGTTTAGTTTGTTGTCCTTCCCCGCACCTGCAATTGGCACTATTGGCTATGTACGGTGCGAAGGAAGTTCAGCATTACACATTAACGTAGGGTTCGCAGTCTAATATGCTTCGTTTTTATAGGATGTTAACCATACCCATCAAACCCATCAGCAGTTATGCCATCCATTGTAGTTGTGGGTAATATAATGTGCCCAAGTACATACCACCTTTTCGGAGCAACTAAAATACTTTTTAGTTTAATATTCAGCTAAATGGCAGGGGGATGTCATACCTGCATTGAATATTAATACTGAAACTGCATAAATGCTGCTAAAAGCATATGCCATAGAACCAACACACATGGACATATTAGCAGAAACCCCATATCTATGAATCGTCACTGGGAAAACAGCCACATTTAAGGAAACTATTTGTTTTTTACATTTTAGCAAAATTTCGGCATTAAGCTGGAAATTCCACAAAAGTGATTTAATAAAATTCATTTTTAAAAAAACAATGTCGGCCCATCTCCCTGAAAAACCTCACGGCCGATCAGTGGCTACAGAAGGTGCGCACCGATTGCCGGCACGCTCGCCACGCGCGTACGGAGCGAGCCAACGACCCCGTGGGACTCGGTCCAATCTGGAGCACTCGCCACGCAACGTGCGAGAATCGCTCCACCCTCCTCCACCACCGCCAAGGGTGCGATGCCGTCGCGGTTTTCTGACGACGCTCAAGAATCGTCGCCGCCGACGCGTTTTTTCCAACTCCGCGCGTAAGTGTCGCTGGTCGTGAGCGGTGGTGCAGCGGTTAGCGCGCTGCTGCGCTACGAACCCGGTGACCGCAGTTCGTTTCCCGCTCACGGCAACACCGGTGCCATTATCTGAACCGGTCCTGGGCCTCCCCTAGGCCGACTCAGTATCAAGTGAGCAGTACCTGGCGAAGTGTGTAAACATCGTCACTGGGGAGACAAAGGCCGCCGGGCGTGGTGCTGGCCACCCACCCCCTCGTGTGCCACAGTGCCGGTAGCCTTCATAGCTGCTGCTCGCTGACAGCACTTGACCCAACAGTCTTTAAAGGCGACACGGGGGATCTTTGTCTTTGTGTGCCGAGGAGGGCGGCGAGTGGGAGCCGGGGCCGTGCGACGACTCCGAGGTGCGGCGGCTCCGCGGGCAGGTGACGGCGCTGGAGCGCGCGCTCGGGGAGGCGCACGCCCGCGCGCGCGCCCTGCTGCAGGAGCGCGCCGCCAGGACGGCGCCACCACAGCCGCCGCCGCGGTCGGCGCCCGCTTTCGGCTCCCAGGGGGAGTACGCCGGTGCGTACCGCCCGCCCGCCTGCCCGCCACACCCCACTCCCCTCCTCCTCTGCGATCGTCACAGTGGCTTGGGAGTCAAAGCACCACGGATCATTTATTGTGCCCCCTCGAGTGAAGGGTGGCGGTGACCGCTTCACGCGCTGGTGTTTGTGACGCTTTGCGTGCTGGTACCATTGGCAAATTTGGAGAATTCGCTTGAATGAAAAAAGTTTTCAGAAAATTCCGCACGTGGTGACGTGTGCCCTTGTGCTCGGCCACGATTGTTTTTGAGTGAAGTTGTGAGAATGCCAAAGTGGTGCCGCAGCCATCACGAGGGTGTGCGTTCAGAGTGAGGTCAAACACCCTCATGCCAAATCGCACGTAAACCATGGCCCTCAGTCTCTCACACGTAGAAAGTTAAACACTCAAGACACAATCGTGCGATTGTGGCCACGCAACTCAAACTGTGCACCATTTTCTAAACCACTGTGGCCGCGCTCCTTCAATGGAGGAGGAGGAGCAGCGAAACGGCACCAAGTCTCTCTCTGCTGAAGCCCTCTTGTGGTCGCCAGCAGACCTCGACATTGGCACGTATTCCTGCCGCACGCAAGGATAGAACCAGCAACGTAATAACACGCGGATCAAACTTGAGTGGACATTGCACTCAAGTGCTATGTGATTACTTGTGAGCAACTTACAACACAAATTGTACATTTTACTTCAGTAAGGAGCCCGGCACAGAGCACAAGCCGCGACGTGGCGAGGGGCGAGACAGAAACTCCGCGAGTCGCCAACGCTGTGCACCCGAGTTTAGAGAAGGGGGGAGATTGAGCTCGCTGCCGCCCCACTGAGTGGGGACCCCGAGAGCGGGCAGCGCGTTGTCCTCTTATATGGGAAGGTGAAAAAAGAATAACTTAAGAAAGTGGAGGGAGCGGGGGGAAGAGGGGGGGGGGGACTCGTAAGCTAATTGAATAATCGTTGCAGCGCTAATTGAACGAGCCAGACAGGGCGTTGGTGTCGTGGTGGTGGTCGTGGTGGTGGTGAGCGCGGCTGAGAGCGCGAGGGGCCCGTGCTTGTCGTGCCGCAGACTGCGCGGAGGCGTTCAACGCGGGCCGCGTGCGGAGCGGCTACTACCGCGTGCGCCCGCGCAGCGCGCCGGACGCCTTCACCGCTTACTGCGACATGTCCGACGGGGGCGGCTGGACCGTGCTCCAGCGTCGAACCGACGGCGCCGTGGACTTCAACAGGTGGCTCCCGGCGCGCTCGCGCCGGGACGGGCACAGCGGCCACACTCGCCGCGTAGAGACACCGGCGCCGCGGATGGCGAGATGTTGACTCCCTCGCCTGGTACACAAGAGGTTGTGGGTTCGATCCCGACCCTCACGCCTGCTGCTGTGTATTCGGAGTTTGCACGTTCTCTCTCCCAGTGGCCGCGTGGATTTTTCTCCGGGTCCTCCGGTGTTTACCCTCCACATTTAGATTCGACGTCACGAGTTGAAGAGTATTTGTCTGCAATAAATGTCCACGCGACAAGCCGCTTCGTTGGGCTATCATTTGTGGCCAGGTCGCTTCTGACAAAGAGCGACATAGCTCAGAGGGCCTTACCTGGTCATATAAAAAATATTATTTAGTTTTTTTAGTTTACTTTGTCAGAACCTGGAAGGGTAATCACATTTGAGCTTGCCACGCCAACTCGCCTCCTCCCTGGTTCCATGTCGGCAATAATAATAACGACCATGTTAAGGTCAAGAGGTCATCACTGAAAATGCCACCAAGGTAACAATGACAGTCATAATGATGAGAGCCAAAGTATTCTCCATGGCCAATTGAGTGTTGATGTGCTGCATCATTAGCGGTGTAAATTCATCATGGCTATGGTGACAGCCAGCATCTACACAGCAAAGCGTATGTAATGTTCTTTTTTTTTAAAATAAGACACGAATCATAAGAACAGCTTTCAATCCGTTGTCAACTCACTGCTGGATGGTCTTGCCACACATTGTCAGCCATGGTGGTTGCGGGTTGGTAAAGGGGGAGTCGAGCAGCAGTTCCAATATCACTCGACACTGACGTTAGCCGTGATCGGGAATCGAACTCGGGTCACCGTTCTTTTTATCGCAGCGCGCTCAAAGTACGAGTCAGAGCCACGGCGCGCGGCCACTAAGTTCACATACTGTGCCATGGTTACAGTGCACGTTCATGTTTCATGAGATACAAAGACGGTCACCGCGTGGCGCTTTCAGATGCGCTTCTGCGGCCGTCTGGAACGTTCTTCCTTCCGATATTCAGAAGCCACTGGAGCTGTGCACTTTAAATATGAATTGAAAAGAATTTGTTTAGAATTTCTGTTTGTATTTAGTTTGTTATCATTCCCCCCCACACCTCCGATTAGCGCGGCTGGCTATGTACGGTGCGAAAAAAGTTCAACACATTCATACAACATATACACGTAACCGCTTCTGTTGCTTTTCATTGTAGAGCATGGAAGGAATACAAGGATGGATTTGGGAACTTCAAGACTGACAACAGCGAATATTGGCTGGGCAATGAAAAAATACACCAACTCACCATTCAAGGTAGGTGATCGCTCCAAGCACTGATAGTGCCCTGCTGGTCACGTTATTCATTGTTCCCTGGCAGATATATTGTACACAAGCTTAAGAAGCCCTATCAATGTCATATCTCACTGGCAGCTTGTGTCATGGGCATTGAACCAGGTAAACCCCACAGTTGTAGCATTATAGGAGCCATCGTTAGTTTTACAACTACCATCAAATATTAGGCACAGACTAATCTGACCCCAGATTGTCAATTGTAACTGTTTCCCCAATTTTGATCCCAATTGAGTTTCTTGATGTCGCATGCCACGAAATGCAGGTTGCCATTCCGAGCTCACACAGAGCTGTGTTAGCAAGCGGACCACGGCAGCGGATGTCAAAGAGCTACCTCTGAGATCTCTGCAAGTGACCTCGGAGAATGAAGTTTTTTTTAAAACATCACTTCCAAACCACCACCCCCGTCAGACACGTCTCGATGTATGTCCTGTGAAGGCGTCCCCTCCAGGGGTCGGATAGAGGGAAGGGGTGAGCACGTGGACAGCGAGTGGCGGGGAAACTAGACAGGACGAGGCCACGGGCTTCACGGGGACACGAATGCGCCCATCTCACTTTGTCTCGGGCCTCCTCGTGCGGGCTTGCCGCTGGGCTGTCTGCCGCGTGTGCCTGGGGCTGGGAGCGGGCAAGGGCTGAGCGCTGCTGTGCTGCCCTGCAGGTGACTACATCCTGAAGGTGGACCTCACCGACTGGGACGGCGAGCAGCGCGACGCTCAGTACCAGAAGTTCCAGGTCGCAGATGAGAAAGTAGGTCCGACCGGAGGAGCACAAAACGCCGCGTCGTCGTAACCACTGTCCAAAGCATTTGTGAGCATTCATTTGTTGGCAGTTTGTGACGTGCGTACATGTTTTGTTCCTCTTCAAGTTTTAGCCATATCTGTGGATGTTTGCTTTCGAAAATGTCTTTCTTTTAAAAATGCTGCTGATGAAAGGATAACATAGACCAGTAATTTGTTACTCAATCGCCCATCTGGGTGCGGACACAAACTGCTGTGAGTGGCAGCGTGCGTCACAGTCACTCGCTCACCATCACAGCATCACCGAGTTACCGGAGTCGTGCACATTGGTGATCACCATGAACAACATTTCCATGACAGTGCTATGTTAGGAGATGTTTTAGTTCCGTGTAATTTCCCCCCCAAATTTGACCACGATCGTGCTGTCGGCGGGAAGCTGGAATTTTGGCAAATTAAGTGCAGAGCCAAATTTAATGTCACGAATGTTTTTGTTGTTGCAATCATTGGTAACCAGACTCATCAGCTCACCGCACTTGAGACAGTTATTCAAATTACCTCAATAAATGAGATCGATCAGCAGTGTGTGGGTGTTGGGCACGTTCTAGTCCTGTGGGTGCTCCTGCACTCCAGCAGCAGCGGCATACCCGGGGTTATCGTAGAGGAATCGCAGACAAATCTCCTCCAGCACCGCAGAGTATTTTCTTTGATTGGAAGTTTCTGCGTAGCCTTGATGGAAATGAATGCCGAAACTTTATTCGGGTATGACTGGCCCAGTGCACGTGATTTGAAGGCGTACGTCATGTTGAGCCAAGCCCCCCCCTCCCCCCTCTGTCTGCAGGCAAAATACCAGCTGACGTTTGGCGCCTACAGCGGCGGCACGGCAGGGGACGCTCTGTCGGGCGGCTTCCACCCCGAGACGCGCTGGTGGGCCGACCTCAACGGGATGTCCTTCAGTACGCGCGACCGCGACAGCGACCGCTACGAGGAGGGGCAGTGCGCCCGCGAGGACACGGCCGGCTGGTGGTTCAACAGGTGCGCCGCGCGAGCAGCAACGCACGCACGTCTGGCACGCATGTCTGGCACGCGTGCCTCCGAGCAGCTGCCCCGAACAGAAGAACTCGAAACTCTCCCCCCGCGAAACGCGAACGCGCGCTGCACCGCGATGCGCGATTCATCACATTTTCGTAGGGCTTCGCGTAACGGGACACGGCCACGTGGCCTCCGCGCAGTATCTTTTTGCGTGGATTTTGACCGGGCGCAAGGTGGCTATGCCCGTGGCCTGTCGTCCAGCAGCACTGGAACCAGCAGCGAGAGGATGCCATAGTGTGGATGCCATAGGCGTCAAGGTCCTATTTCTCTGGCTTGCCAGAAGACGCCAGCACAGCAATAAACTCTACTTGTTACATATGTACGGGATCGTGTTTCCCACTGCACGCGTGGTTTCTTTCAGGTGTTCCGGTTTCCTCCCACATAACACCGATAACACCTTAATATATAGAGGACCGCAGAATTTGGGCAGTTGTTGGCACTGGTTCAACTTGTCCGTGGTTCCTCCTCGCGCCTCCGAGTTGTGTTGAGTTTGTTGTCCTTCCCCCGCACCTCCGATTAGCATGGTTGGCCACGTAAAGTGTGAAATAAGTTCAACACACATACGTACGCTGAGAAGCAATGTGAAATGGGCACACTTATTTATAATTCGGGCAAGGAAAACAAATGCACAATTGAACGTTGCCAAAGCATATAACCCAGCATGCGGAGGTGTTTCTACAATTTACGCTCACCCATCAACACGTGTGAATCCCATCATTTTGAGAAATGTAGGGTCCCATTTTAAATGTCCCACCGAGCGTGTCAGGCCCGTTTTAAAGTATAGCGCTGCTTCTTCGATAAACTTGCACAATCACAAACAAGTTTATTGAAAATAAGCGAATTTTACTGAAACTCAGAGCAAAGGAAAATCTCAGCTTTTATGATTGACAGGGCCTTCTGCAGGAAATATTGAGATTCATTAGCAGAATCATAATACTGGACTGTGCAGTGGACAGTTCAGAGTTGGGGGAGTTGTGTTGATTCTGTTGACACATTCATTCAGGCTTTTCAGGAGAGTGCGACTTAGATACCGTAAGTTCAATAACATGACAGCAACAACCGCCGTTCGTCACTCAATGGCTGTGATGTCACCAGGGTGGTTGTGCCAGGCTAGATGCACCTTGATGTGAAGTGTCGAATGCACGCCCGCAGGTCACGGGACAGGCACAGGCGTTATGGGTTAACTGAGATATCTGGCAGATGCACCACCAGTCACCTCCAGTGTGTCAACTTGCGTCGTTTAAGCCGCCCGGCGCTCTGCTCGTTGCCATGAACATCGCTCCTCTGTCCTCCGCTGTTGCAGTGGCGAGATGTTAATTCCATCGCCTGTTATACAGGAGGTCGTGGGTTCCATCTCGACCCTAACACGTGTACATTTGGAGTTTGCCTGTTCTCTCCGTGGTCGCATGGGTTTTTCTCCGGGTCCCCCGGTTTTTGCCGTCCACATGTAAAAACTTCACGCGTTTAGCGTATTTGGCTGCTATACATTTCCACGTGATAAGCTACTTCGTTGAGCTATCATTTGTGCCCAGGTCACTTCTGACAAAGAGCTATATAGCTCAGTGGGCCCTACCTGGTAGAATAAAAAATAGTTTATGTTTAGTTTAATTCAAGCCTATCAGGTGGGTTTACTGAAGGTAGGATTTTTTAAAAGTACGATTTAGGTACCGTAAGTTTTATAGCATGACAACAACCGCTATTCGTCACTAAATGGCGATGATGTCACCAGGGTGCTTGTGTCAGGCACGGTGCACCTCGAGGCTATCATGTGAAGTGTCACCTCCACTGTGCCAACTTGCTACGTTTTGGCTGCCCCGTGCGCTCTGCTTGTTGCGGTGACGCTCCTCTGCCCTCTGCTCTTGCCATGACTAGAATCGGATGGGCAGGTGGGCGACGGCATCTCGAAAACCCGCCGCTTCTCTCTCTCTCCTCCAGATGCCACGGAGCGAATTTGAACGGCGTGTACCACCTCGGAGGGCCCTACTCGGCGGGCACGGACAATGGCATCGTGTGGTACACGTGGCGTGGCTGGTGGTACTCGTACCGCGCCGCGCGCATGAAGGTCCGCCCGGCCGCCTTCCAGCCAGCGGAGGCCACCTAGGGCTGGCCGTCATCGCATTGCCCACCGAGGGCCCGCGGAGACGATGGGAGCGCCTCATCGGCCTCATCGGTGGTGGCTTCTTGAAAATTCGCCGTTTTGTCTGAAAAGAGGTTGGCTCTCAAATCGGTTTTTTTTTGTGGTTCGAAATTATTGCGGAAAATATACCGGCCTTGGGGGAAAACGAGACCCTCATGTAATGTGATTTTCCAAGAGCAATTGCAGAAATACAGTTTAAGTCTTTTTTTGATTTTTAGTTATTACACTGTATATACTGTACCAAATCGACCAGCAAACAACACATGCCCTGACTAGATACTGCCAATAACTTAATCAAACTCAATCATGTAAGCACATGATGCCCAACTGGTTGGCAAGGCCTTGAAATGGTGGCAAATGTGCCTCAGCAGTGCTGTGGCCCGTGTGTTCATGTGCCCTGTGCGTACGAGCGGAACTAAAGGGGCAGCAGAATCAAAGAATTCCTGAATGAGTCCCATCACCGTGGCCCAGGGTTTGGCCCACACACACTTGTACCAGCCCTGCGTGGCCTACGGTGTGGGACGATGATTTTTTTAATGAGCTTGGCTGTTAGATCTCTTAATGCCTCGAACTAAACTAGAGCTCTTTGTTGCTAAGGGGGCAACACCAACAGCCGCTTCTGACCCGCCCCTACTGGACATGTGAAAAAGAGCTTCATAGCTCATCAGATTCCTCCAGTCGCTTCGTTGAGTGGAGGTGGCTGTGGACAGGATTAGCTGCCATCACCTGAATTCCACGGCCCCCCCTCTTTTGGATTCCAAGGTAAGAACCGAGGGTTTCCGAGATGCCATCCGCATTTATAGGCACTGCATTGAGGACCACTGATCTGCGATGGGCTCCAGTGCCTACAGCTTGTGGTCTGTTTTCAGGTTGGACGCCCTAGACCAGGGGTCGGCAACCAAAATAACAAGAAGAGCCATTTCTTTCCAATTCGGTACAAAATTCAGTATTTCAAGAGCCGCAATGCATCTGAGTACATACGTACTCATCGTCAAGAAGCAGCCCGTAAAGAGCCGCATGCGGCTCCGGAGCCGTAGGTTGCCGACCCCTGCCCTAGACCATGGGTTGCTGCAGGCTGAATCGACACCGTCTTGCTGTGCTCTTTTTGGGCGTTGTGACCTGTGTGACAATCCTGTTGGCCACCACGCTCGCTTGAAACATGCACGTTTGATTCCCATGCCTGAAGCATCTGCAGCCTCTGTGAAAAGTGATCCACGAATAAATTGCAATCGATGTCGATTTGTATAATGTTGTTTATGTAACCCCACCAGCTTTATACAGTGCTTATATTTCATTCAGTATGGAAGAACCTTCATTTAGCAGGTGGGTATGACTTTTAACTCAAGTATATATTTTTAGGGCATTTTCTTGATTAAGTAGATGCATTTTTGCTCAGAAATTAACATGAAGTTTGCATTGGACTCTCGACGTGGGCAACCAATTTATAAAAAGTGTGATACTTCTTCATATTTAGTTCGATTGTCTATATATAAAAGAATGCACGGGTGGCTTCTTAGGGTTAACGCTCAAAGAAGACATCCAACCAACCACTAGCCAGGCCCAGTCACTAGCCAGGCCCAGCTACTAGCCAGGCTCAGTCACAAGGTCACTCAACCACCCCACCATGTTGCCATGACATTGTCACACATTCATCCCGCCAACAAAATCACTTGACCCAAACCTAAATACACTATTAGTTGGATATAAGCACACCCCTTTGGAGCAAGGACCGTGCTTATATGCAAAGTGTGCTTGTATGAGAAGTTTCCCTCCCCTACCAATGTAATGTAAGAATGTGTTGCTTATGACAGAACTGTGATTGTGTGCTTATGTCCAATTTCCACTGTATAGCCACAAAACAAGGCTGCCCAAATATGATTAAGTCACATGTGGCCAATCTCATCCAAATGATGAACTTAACCTACTCCATCAACACACCAATTAAGAGATTATATTTATTCATTATGCATGTCACAAAACAATCATGTGTAAAGCATGATGGCAACAGAGGAATCTGATGCTCGGTGTTTAGATCGGGCATGTCCACACGATGAATGTAATGAATGCAGAGATACGAAGACGGTTACAAAATGTAAAAGGTTGATAGGCATGCACGTGACTTTAGGCACCATGCTGCTTTTGTTAACTCGCCGAGGCGTTCTGATGACACTGATGATGAGACGAGGTTTCATTTGCAGCCCCCCTGCACCCACCATCCAGACTGGAGAGCATCCAAGCACACCCTTCTCAGGCATGACCAAATTGTCTACAATCAGCAGTGTCAACTGGTGTTGTTATTCTTCTTTGCAGAGTAAAGCCGAGAATCGGGAGCGTGGAAACGTGCACAATCACCACACGCTAATTTGGCATCGAGCACGGAGTAGACATTTGTGGGATGCTTTGGTGACCGAACCGAATGTCACGTGTGACCAACGGTATAGAACGAGCAGTACCAACCGACTGCTGCTGATGCCGCTTGTTCACTTCTAGACGTGGTCAAAGTGTGAGGATTAATTGAGTCGTGATTGTCGTCATACATCATTCCTACATGAATCACAAAAGGAGACCTATTCTAGGCAACACCACATTACTTTGGTTGCATGTCCATATGGGTAACTTCGAGATCCGAAAAGTTCCATTATATATTTAGTCCCTTAAAACAACCTGAGTAAAATAGCTCAATATTTCACAATGTCATTTAAATTACATTTTTGTTCGCAACAAAAGAATGTCACGGTATCGTGCAAGTTATTAAACTAAAATATTTTTTTATTTGACGAGATAAGGCCCACTCAGCTATATAGCTCTTTTTCAGAAGCGAGCTGGCAACAAATTATAGCTCAATGAAGTGGTTTTTCATGTGGAAATGTATAGCAGCCAAATAATCTCTACGCTTGTTTCTATATGTGGAGGGAAAAACCGGAGGACACGGAGAAAAATCCACGCTACCATGGGGAGAACATGCAAACTCCAAATATACAGCAGGCGTCAGGGTCACGATCGAGCCCACGGCCTCCTGTATACCAGGCGAGGTAGTTAACATCTCGCCAAATTGGCGGCATCCCTGAATAAGGATGGCATTGCTTTTCTTGAAGCTCGTACAAGTGAAAACAAAAAAAACAAAAGCATCCTGACACTGCCTTGCCATGAGCACAAAGAACTTTGCTCAAAAGTCACCAAACATAACCAATGCATGGACGAAGGGTCCCCAGGCCTTCACCAGCTCTCACACGATGGAGGCCACACAATCCACGTAGAGCCTGTGCACGAGCCGATGTAATCTCTCCGTGGCCACGGCAGAAGCTCCTCTCGGGCGAGTTTCCTCCTCTGGCTGCCACTCCAGCGTTAGTCTTAACCACCGTCCACCGTCCCTGCCAGGTGTGACATGTCCTGCCCAAGCCCACTCACTTTCCCTCCCTCTCCATGTGAGTCTAACTTGCATTATGTTCTATAAACCACGGGTTCTCCTTCATGTTTCTCAGTGCAATTCCAAGTGCAGGCAATCCCCAGGTTATGGAAGGGTTAGGTTCCCGAGGAACTGTCCGTAACCCGAATATTCCACATGTCGGAAACTGAACAATTTTTCCCCAAAATCAAGATAAAACCCCAAAGCCGGAAATAGTTGTGACTCTTATTCCCGATTACGAGGTCGTTTTCTCTCAGTACTGATTCACACTGTCGTCCGTTTTCTATCGCTACCTTGTATCGTATCGCTGTACATACACTTTGCATTGCCTGTGATTCTTTAATTTCATCGTATACCCTAACACATACTGCATCCAATTGTTCATGAATACCACGAAACATTTTAATAATTGTTAACAGAAAGCAGTCACTTCCGAATGTTTGTTCATACATACACAAACACCCCCGCGTAGCCTTCACAGATTGCTGGGACAAGTGCTGTTAGCGAGCACCTATGAAGACCGGAATGGCACACGAGGGGGTGGGTGGCCAGCACCACGCCTGGCCGCCTTGGTCTCCCTAGTGGCAATATTTTTACACATCGCACCAGGTACTCATTTGAGGCTGAGTCGACCTAGGCGAGGCCCAGGACCGGTTCAGATTATTGTCACTGGTGTTAGCTGTGAGCGGGAATCGAAATCGGGTCACCAGGTTTGTAGCGCAGCGCACTAACCACTCCGCCACACATACACACACATACACACACATATACATGCACACAAAGACAAAGGTGGAGTAGGCTCGTCTAAACACACACACAGTACACACAGTAGATAACTCCTGAAATAAACTTAAAATGAAGAAAAGTAGCAATAGAAACATGGGGGGGGGGGGGGGGAAAGATAGTTCTAAGCATAGAAAACAAACAATTAGGTAATGGTACAAAATAATTACATGACGCTACAAAAATTCCATCTACCTTGATCCGAGTGAAGCTTGGGCTCGGTGAAGGCGGCGTTTTGGTATTCATCCGCAACCTCACCGCGTTGCAGTATTTGCACTTACGTAACTAACGCTACAATTTAAGCATATCCATTTTTCTTAAACATGATTTTTGGGAGCATTTCCATAAAATCGGTTTTCCAAACATCGAATCTTCCGCAACTCGGGGACTTGCTGTACTGCCTTACACCTCGCCGTTTTTGTCTGCTCACTTTTCGGCACATGTTCTGTTTATATTGGTTAAGGGCCACGTCTCTGGTGGATATGTCACAGCGGGCAACGTTCACCGAGACACACCACGTTCTTATTTAGTGCTCTCGTGTGTTTAAAAGTGCTACAATTTAAAGGAACGTCAAACATGAATGATTCACACTGCATGCATCGGTGCCGCCTGTGCAGTCTACGCACACTCCACCACCGTGCCCCCCACGGGTCTCGAGATAAGGGGCAGCATTGGGAACGTTTCATCGTCTGCACTGCAACCATACGCTTGTGTTCTATCCCTTTTGGAACGGGTCATTTGTAAAAAGATACAAATTAAATACAACCCCACATTACGTCCTTTTATATCACAATTACGTTTCCCCGCGATATATATATTTTATATTTTCATGTTATATTGCATGAGGCAAGATCATTTTGATGCAGCAGCAGCATTGATTAATTACAAAAAAGAGAAAATTATATTTCCTCTGCCAAATACAGCTTAATATTTCACAAAAAATGGCTTTCAAGAAAGACACGTTGGTATGTGGCTGCATTTGGGGTTTGGTTCTATACAGAGCCACTGCCCGGCACGGCCAGAGGGCCTACAGGACCGTCATGGCCACCTCTTTGCGGTCCCAGGTGTGCGAGGTGAGGACTTGCAGCATGAATCGCGCCACGTCCCCACGGGACACCTGGGAGCCCTTGGTGCCCAGCCAGCCGGAGTCCTGCACGGGCACGAACATCCCCTCCACCACCTCGATCTCCTTGTCTGGCAGTGGGGAGCACAGCGGGACAAGGCACAGAGACGCACAAACGTGCACATTCTCACAAACGCGTAAAGCATACGGTGCCTCACAGCAAAACGGGTTTGATTCTTGACTCGGCGCCTTTTCTGTATGGAGTTTGTCCTGCCCCTATTCTGTACGTATGTTGAACTTCTTTTGCGCCATACGTAGCCAACCGTGTTAATCGGAGGTGCGGGGTAACCAGTGTTGTCCAAACATTCCAACGCTGAAAGATTGCCTGCAAATTACTCAATTGGCACCATTCACGGCCACATCGCCCCCTCACTGCATAACCTTGGCGGGACCCTCCTTAAAAGGCAGTTTCGTAAGGACGATAAGGACGCACACGTACCCGTCGGTGGCTCGTTTTTCAGGCCCGGTGGACGGACGACGGTGTAGTTGATGTCAGAGCACTCGGTGCACAGGAACTGCTCCATGACACGCATGCTGGCAAGGATTGGTCTGATCATGGGCAGCAGAATCCAACGAACAAACCGAGGAGCATTGGCCTGGGAATCGACTGTTGTGCAAAAAAAAAAACACCATTATTGTATGAACTTTTTTCGCACCATACATAGCCAATCATGCTCATCGGAGGCCCAACTCTGATTCACCAAATGTGAACACTTAAGGAAACTGATACAACATTGTAACCACGGGTGTGCTTTACCTGTGCATGGATATTTTATTCATCTATTTCTTAATTCGCAGGGGTTAAACTAACACACCTTTTTAATTTTTTCAGCAGTCATGAGATTTTTGAAAACATACGTTATTAATGCAATCCTGTACATCTGATTATGTGAATGTGTCAGGTCAGGTGACAATGTAATTGAGCTTGATTTGTGATAACCTGGTCATGAGATCAATCCCAGCCAAAAAAACAACCAAATCCATTCCTCTGGGATCAATAAAATGAGTACCACTTTGTGGCATGCCAACCTGTGGACACCCTTTCAACAGTTGGGCAGTGGACATAAGAATGTGGAATTTATACTGCTGGATTAGGGCCAACAAGAAAGTTGAATACGTTCCTGGAAAATCCCCCTCCCTCTTGAACTCCTTCCACAAGATTTCCGCCCTTGTTATTGTGCCAAAGGATGCTGCGGCGCTGTCAGTTTCTTGTGTGTGTACACTTCGTTTTTAAATTTCACCTCGACACAAAACCCCTATCTCCGTTACTCTTTCTGCACTGCGACATTCATGCCCAACTCTTGCCCCCGACACTGAATTGGCAGCCCGACGCTCGCCCCCAACACATGAATCTCCCAACGACTGGACGGCAAGATGCATGCGGGGAACGTGCGGGAACATTTGCTTCGTGTGTGAGCGTGTTGAATGTGTGTTACACAAAAGCCATACATTAAATAAAAAAAACACATACATGGTAATTAAATCGTTCTCACAGTCGATTCACTCAGCGCAGAGTAGCTTCCCTAAAGATGCAGCACTCTCCACCTCTCGCAAGCCTAACAACAATCTTAGCAATGTCAAATCGTGTCTAGCCGAAACGTCACCCCCCCCCCCCCCCTATTCCGGAAAACAGACCTGAGCAAGTAAACGTTTATAGGCGAAGCACCGCGCTCTATGAGACCGAGTTCAGCGAGGTTCTCCTGTGCTGCCCCGTAGTGGTTTACACAGGGAGATGTTTTGATCCTGGGGGTGTGCGTCAGCCACTCTCCACCACCGCTCTTCATATAAACAACATGGCACCAACATGCGAGTTTGTTTTTTAGAGTTCCTCAGCACTCACCATCCGTATACCAGGCTGTCATGGCTATGAAGCGGCCGACCCCGGCCTGCCTCATGGCATCCACGATGGCTTTAGCGGAGTCGCCGTAAGCTGTGACCTCTTGCGGAGTGAAGCCCAAACACGACATGACCGCGTCGTGACCAACCAACGCATCCTTCAGGCTCTCCGTCGAGAAAACATCTCCCTGGATCACCTGAAATCGCGGCGATAAATCACGCAATAAGCGAAACACATCGTATTACAAGCCAGAAGGTAACTATCCTCGACGAGTTAGGCAACTTTTAGATTTAAAGCTTTCGTGACTGCAGAGATTCATATTCTTGGTTCTTTCGGTAAAGTCACGTAGAAGGGAAATAATAAAATAATAAAAATAAAACAATTGCAACACAAGCAATCACATCAGGTGTGAAAACCACAGCAAGAACATTTTTTTTGTTGTTGTGGTTTTCCCACCTGATGATTGCTTGTGTTGCAATCGAAACGTCGTGAGAATTTAATTGTTTTTTATTTTATTATTTCCCTTCAACGTGACTTTACCGAAAGAACCAAGAATATGAGTTAGGCAACCCCCCCTGTGCCTCCCTGGGAGGGCCCAAACCTCACCTTGAGATTCTCGTGTTGGATTTGCACTTTGCTGGGAGAGCGCACGACGGCGGTCACGTGGTGTCCTTGCTGCAGGGCCTGGGCCATGAGGCGCTGGCCGGTGAGGCCCGTGGCCCCCAGCAGGGCGATGCGCGTCGCAGAGGCCATCAGCAACTGTGGCTTGGAGCTGCGAGGCCACGGAGAGAGACCGAGAGAATGAGACCACGAGGGAAAAAGCAGGGTCATATAGTAATACCACGTACTGATGTATCTAACCAAGTGCGTTACCTAACGCGTCGTCAAATGTCACACCATGATGTGGATAAACTTTCCAACTTACGGGCACGGGAAATACAGTTTAAGATAAAAGTTGAGTGTTTCACGGGGGGAAATTAATGTAAATCACCGCTAATATTCGTCGATTGTCCTCACACTGGGAAACCTTTGGCAGGACCCTCTTGAAGGAGAGTCGTCAGACTCAGCGCGATGCTTTCATGGGTAAATTGCGCGTAACATTCCTACTAAATCACTGGACTATTGCTGGGATGTAAATGTGTGTATGCGTAAATAAGTAACATTTTAAAAAAACTTTTTTTAAACACGCTTTGATTAAATGTACCCTTCTCGTAATGGCAGAACTCCACGAATCCAGAAAGTGGCCCCGAAGCTTGCCACAAGGTAAGGGCCAGTGGCCAATTACAGCCACCGTCAGTCGAGCGTGGACAATTAGACCCAAGCCGAAACATAACATATAAAAAAGATGGTTTACAATCTTTATTTTTAATGATAGAATATCGTATTGTCATCAGTATGACATAACTATACCACGACATTTGCAGTCAACACCACATTGGGAAGTGGCTTAAAATGGAGTTACACGATTTGAGGATACGACAACAACAACAGCAGAGCGAGTTACAAGCAAGCGTGTAAACAACATGAGCACACGGCGAATGCAAGTCACGTGCCGCTGGCAGGGCGACTCGAGCAGGTTAAACAACAACAGCCCTGGCGACAATCGAGTTGCGTAACCAGGGCGTTGTTAAAACGACAACCGGTGAATCGATCAGGTATCGATGACACGGTTCCGAAAGCCAGGGAGCGGTAACCGGTTCAGTGGCCGGTAACCGGTTCAGTGGCCGGTAACCGGTTCAGTGGCCGGTAACCGGTTCAGTGGCCGGTAACCGGTTCAGTGGCCGGTAACCGGTTCAGTGGCAGGCAACCGACGCGTAACGTTGGCGACGATACATCACTGGGAGACTTGTTGCGATGTAAACGCGTGTTCGTGTCGCAAACGACGGGAAATCAAAACGCAGCGGGAGGCTCGCTCCCGTCGCAAAGCAGATCGCGCTAATCGATGAGCGCGGTGGGCTGGGTGCGGTGCGAAAGAAGTTCAACGTAGTACAGTACAACAACGACGACGACGACAACAGCCCCACGTGGCTTGCAGCAGCGACGGCGCCGGTCGCAACTAAGACCCGGAGCGTGAAACCCGGAGCATGGACTCCACTCCGGACTAAGGCGGAGTCTGCGGCCCGGGAGCCCGAGAATCCGGATCCGAGAGTCCACGCCGGGAGTCCACGCCGGGAGTGTGTGCAGCGCGGTGACGTCACGGCGGCGGCCTCTTGGGCGTTCACAACAACAACGACGACGTCGTCGTCGATTACTCGCGAGCGCAAGGGGCTCCACCTTGCGGGGATCATCAGCACGGCGCAGCCTCCCGGCGGCTCAGCGGGCGGGCAGCCACGCGGCACGCAGCGGTGTGAGCGAGGTTCGCCTGGTGCGAAGTGACCGAATCTCATCACCCCCGTGTGAGGCTCGCCGCGTGTGTGAGGAGTCTCACCTCGTGACGCTCGCGCCGTGTGAAGGTCTCTCTCCCCTCGTGAGTGAAAGTCTCCACACCCCGTGTGTGTGAGTCTCACGCCCCGTGTGTGTGTGAGTCTCACGCCCCGTGTGTGTGTGAGTCTCACGCCCCGTGTGTGTGTGAGTGAGCCTCACGCCCCGTGTGTGTGTGAGTGAGCCTCACGCCCCGTGTGGGTGTGTGAGTGTGTTCGGGCTGCACCTGTGCGAGTGCGAGGCTCCCGCTGGCGGATGAGGTCTCTCGGTTTCTGTTGCGGGGACCCCCCCCCCCCCCACCGGGCGCAGGGCGGACCCCAGTGGCCCGATCGGTGCAGCCGAGGGCGTGGCCTCTGGGCACCCGGGGGCGTGGCCTCTGGGCACCCGGGGGCGTGGCCTCTGGGCACCCGGGGGCGTGGCCTCTGGGCACCCGGGGGCGTGGCCTCTGGGCACCCGGGGGCGTGGCCTCTGGGCACCCGGGGGCGTGGCCTCTGGACACCCGGGGGCGTGGCCTCTGGGCACCCGGGGGCTCCCCCCCCCCCTGATGACGATCGCTTGTGTTGTGATCGAAACGTCATAATTTTTTGTTATTTTCCTTAAACCTATCTCAGTTACTTTACCTAAAGACCCAAAGAATAATCATGAGCGGGTCATTATTTTCGATTGAATATTTCAGATTAACTGCAATACACCCGTCCTTGGACGGGCTATAGGCTAGTATATTTATAATAATATTGAGGTTTTTTTACATGGCAAGTTTCATTCATGCAGCTGCATCACACGAGGCTGCACAAATACCCACACGAAGGCGCATCGATGAAGATGTTTCGTTAAACCCGCCAATTTATAGTAAGGGTTTCCACTTAAACACAACGTGCCAATTCGTTACTAGTACAGCACAGCGTTGTGTTGGAGAGCAAATCCACAACATTTACAATCTGAGCACGACGTTTCGTTTTTATTACAGCTAGCTTCATCAGGCGACAGCCAGATATATTTACGCGATCTAACCCAAACAACCCCTCTATTATGGATGATATTGGTTGCGAAAGCCTACGTGTTAAACTAATGAAGATGTTTTCATCCAATTAACGAGGAGTGTTTATACACGTGGGGGGGGGGGGGGGGGGGGGTCCCAGAGCACCGGGAGAAACGCGGCGAGCGCAAAGGGGAAACACTGTCCCATGCAGAAGGGATAGATGGAGACTAGTCCACACTTTGTTGTACTGCGTTCTATTTGCCAGCCAGGGTATGGCACCTCGACGCCCACCTGCGAGAATGGAGTTGGAACAGATCAAGATAAGTCCACACTTGCTGTACCAGCTCCTGGCGGACCAGGGTATGGCACTCCCTTGACGCCCACCTACAATCGAGTTGGAACAGATGGAGATTAGTCAGTTGACATGGCGCCATCTCCTGGCGAGCCGGAGTACAGCACCTCGACGCCACCCATGGGAAGGGAGTTTCACAAACATTTTCCAACAAACCTTGCAGCTGCCTCCACTGCTGGACCACAGGCCCGGAGGTCGTGGACGTATATTCCTCAACCCGCAATGCTTCTCTCAGCAGTGCACAATGAGCGTGTGCTCTGCACAGACTTTTGAAAGAAAATTCCGAGTCTTGCTGAAACAGTGAAACTCCTCTTATCGGCGAACCTATTGCCCACGACGTGTTATCCGTGCCCCAGAACGATCCGTAACACTTATCCGTGGAGAGGCTCTTCCTCTTAACGGTTTCTTTCATGGGGAACGGAGTCGTACCAGGCCACCGTGCGCACAACACTCATCCGATTATCCACAACACTCATCCGATTATCCACAAATTCACGGATAAAATGAATAATTCTGCAAATCAAACCACGGATAGATTAGTGGATACGACGAAACATTCTTGCGGACAATCGGACGACAACTCTCCTCACCTGCACGTTTCCTAATCGACCAACACCATTCCCCCACTCAACGCCGACGCTGCACTGAGGCTGATGGATTAGCTGCTGTGAGAGACGTAATTGGGAAGCTATGCCTGGTGTCCAGTTTACATTCTCATGCAAATATACTAATACCCTGGCTTACGTGAGGGATGCGTTCCTGAAATGTGCGACGACGAATATCGAAACAACAGTGACGGATAACGAGAAAGGACGGATGATGCAGTGTGGGTAGAGGCGATGCATATCAGGTAGTGGAGTTAATAATAAAGTGACGACGTGCTCGCCAAACAACATAAAAGGGGGAGACGTACATCGGGGTATTACTGTACTCTTGATATTAAAAAAATCAGTAATCTCCAAAATATTCCATTTGTGTTGAGACAATTAAACGTCCCACCACACCAGTCAGCAGGGCGTCATTGTGCATCGTATGTTGTCGGGGAATATCCCATCCAGGTGCTTTCAGTCAACAACTGAAGTCAATTCACTCCACCTCTCGTGACACCATTGTGCATGTGGTGCACCAGATAAGTAATATTGAAAAATACTTTTTTAAAACACGCTTTAATTAAATGTACCGTGCGAGTGATGGCAAAACTCCACGACTCCAGGAAGTGGCCCCGAAGCTTGCCAGAACGTCAGAGAGCGTGGTGATTTACAGCCAACGTTAGTTGAGCGTGGACAATTAGACCCAAGCCGAAACATAACATAAAAAGAGGGTTAAAATTGTTTTTTTTATGATAGAATATAGTATTGTCATCAGTATGACATAAGTAGCTTGCAGTCGATACCACATTGGCAAGTCAGTTAAAATTGAGTTACAAGATTTGAGGATACGACAACGACAGAGTGAGTTAAATAAAAGCGTGTAATAACGTTTTTTTGCAAAAGCTGCCATATACATTCACTTATCATTCACAATGATTGGCACGCTGTCAATCGAAAAAGTGTACCATATTATAAATATGGACCATATCGTTGACCACTGTAGGCCTGCACCCCTTCAACGGAGGACGGAGAGCAAAAAGAGACAAACTCTTTATTGAAGCCTTCCTGTGTCCACCAGACCGCGACATTGGTATTTAGCCCCTGAAAGTGTCAGTGGCAGACACAAGAACATAATCACCCAAAGTAAAGTGCTTCTGTTTAGTAGTGGCACCATTGTGAACAATGAGAAGGCAGAGAACGGAGAATTTGATAGTCCGTTAAAAAGAGTTTCCAACAGTGCCGTTTATGATAGTGATGAAAAGTAAAATAAAAACTATCCGTACCAAAGGGAGGATTTTATGCAATGGTAAATGTTCAACATCCGTTAAAATGTGAAGGAGTCTAAGTGTGGCAATAACAAAGTTGTAAGTTTAACACTTTTAGGCATTGCCACGTGTGCACCACATGACCTGTTTGCCATTACTCTGACAAATGTAAATGGTAAAATACAAGAAAATAATTAAAGCGAGAAGATACTCAAATTAAAGCTTTATTTTCACAGTCTTAAAGTGAGAGCTTTGCAATTTTTGTGTGGCGTGTAAGTAAGATTGTGTGATGCCGCCGCCACGAAGCCGTTCGGCAGACACCAAATCCCCGACCTCGCCACCACCAAGCAACGGAGCCGACCCCGCGTCCCCCTCACCTCACCTCACATGAACACACCCGCACTCATTTCCCCCCCCCCCCCCCATAGAGCTCCGAGGGGAGGTCGCCTGACCGACCGGTTTTTATCCGAGAGACCCTTATCGGGATTAATTCTCACGGTTTCCGGCGATCAGGGAATTGGATGACCTCCCCCGTGCTACGTGGCACCGCGGCGCTGTGGCCGGCCTTAATATGGTGTGGTCGCGGCGTGGGGCATTCGGCCACCGCGGTTGAGGCGCATTTTCCCCCCACACACACCCCCACGAGTCGACGGGGCAAGCAGGGGAGGCACGGGACAGCAGGAATAGCGGGATCACAGGGGCTGTTGCGCATAGTCATGGAGGTTTGGGATAATTGCGCTTGAGCGCGCAGGCCCCATTGTCAGGGAGGGTAAGGGATTAAGTAGGATTTACGCCTTGCACGCAGCACACTGATTAGCATATCAACAGCGCCCAGAACCGCCGTGCGCGTGCCAGAGGATCGCGAGCCCATTGTTTAGCGC